GTGACCCTGTGCTGGCTCTCTACTGCTCTAGAAAAATTCCAGTGGCTTGGAAAGATTCACTCAATTCGAATTGCCGTTTCCCAAAAAAAGGATTTTGTCATTGATTGGATCGGGCATCTGCCCATGGTCAAGCTGTACATAGTGACCATGTATATGTGGCTGGATCCCAAGGGAACTGCTCACTTTCCATGTGGAGACCCCCAAAGCAGCACCACTGTGAGGGGAAGGGCACATGCACAATGCCCAAGACATGTTGGGACACGTGACACCTGCGTCTTCCTGCTTGTCTGTTAGGATGCCACAAGACTGCGTTTTTCACTCTTCTACTCTCTCTTTCCAAACAGATTATAAAATAATAGATCAGAAGTTCTTCAGTGTGGCCCCTGGGTCAACAGCATTTTCCTCACTGAGAAATTTGTTCCAAAAGGCAATTCTTGGACCATCCAAATCTGTTGACTGAGAAATTCTAGGGATGGAGATGAAAGCTTATTTCTAAAGGTCCTCTAGGTTGTTCTGAGATTGAGATCCATCATATTAAATATATAGCACATCTTTTCTCCTTTAAAAAGATGTATTTTATCTTTTAGAATAGCAGCAAAACAAACTTGGGTCATCCTGGTTAAATTGGGCATTTCCCCCCAGTCTCCAAAAATAAAAAATAATTTCCTAGGATAGTTACTTCTACAGAGGAATAACCTCATCAATTACATATACTTTTTGCTATTTCTTCTTTTAGAGGATGGCAGTTTTTAATTTCTATGAATATTATAGCCTCTATATACACTATAAATCTACAATTAACATAATTTGACATTTCTGGATATAATTTTTGATTTCCAAGCTTCTTGCTGACAACCTCTTTACAGGTAGGGACTCTCATATATCTAGATAGATAGATAGATAGATAGATAGATAGATAGATAGATAGATATTCCCCCCCCCAATATTGGGGATTGTACTCAGGACACTGCACTTGCCAGGTAGGCGCTTATGCTCCTGAGCTATCTCTTT